ACTAGAGGTTTTGGTTAATGGATTGAGTGGGGCTGTCATTCTTCCGGATTTCCCCGGATTTGTTCTAGTTCTGAAGGTGTCTGAAGCCGTCCGGGATGATTTTTTGAAGTAATCCGTGTATTTTCTTTAAGGCTTAAAATAAATGTGTTTCGCACCCGAAAAAAAATTGCTTTTGAAGGCTTAAAATAAACTTTTTTAAGAGTGACATCCGGGAAAATTTTTCGCCTCCGGCGGCGCCTGCGTCCGGCTTTTCGTCTCATATTATTTTCCCCAAATAAGCAAATTTTACAAAAGCAAACAAACAATTTATTATCCGCCCCCCCCCTTTCCACCGAAAAGAAAAAAAATTCGAGGCGCCCCCATATATCTTTGCTCCCCCCGCTCCGTGAGGCTGGCTACGCCACTGCAAGGGTAGGTCCGAGTGGAATGCAGGTATAGTCTGGCTAGCCAAACGGCGAACTCCAAAAGAATTTGCTGCTTTGCCAAACTTGACGGAAACAATGATAAACAAGTTGGTGACATATTTTTTTTTTTGCTGTATGGGCATGTGTAGTATTTCGAAATAGAAAAAAATCTGGCAACATTGCGAAATGATGGATGTGGAGAGGCGTGATTATAGTTGGGGAGCTGGCGTCAAAAACATGCAAGAGTTTTCGCAAGGCGGATATTTTCAAAATAGGTCGTACTTTAGTGTTAGAATGCTAGTGTACAGTCAGCACTCACAGTTCCGGGACAGCTGGCTCTGGGGCGCGGGCAAAGTTGTAATTTTAAGAAGCATCTAAACTGTTTTCTCAAAGTTCAAAATTTATAGAGATTTTGCACATTATATGTTTGGTCACAGATAACGTATGTAAATCGTCAGACGTCTAGTTCGTTGCAAAAAGGGGGTCAGACGTCCTCAAAGTTTTTATTTTATGGCATTTTCTTCGGTGTCCTGTCAAAATATATTTTTGCAGGTATAGAATAAAAACTTTGAGGACGTCTGACCCCCTTTTTACAACGAACTGGACGTCTGACGATTTACATACGTTATCTGTGACATTCAAACAGATAATGTGCAAAATTTCTATAAATTTTGAGCTTTAAGAAAACAGTTTAGATGCTTCTTAAAATTACAACTTTGCCCGCGTCCCAGAGCCAGCTGTCCCGGAACTGTGAGTGCTGACTGTACACTAGCATTCTAGCACTAAAGTACGACCTATTTTGAAAATATCCGCCTTGCGAAAACTCTTGCATGTTTTTGGCGCCACCTCCTGGACTATTATTCAGAGGCATGATTCTATTGGTTAGAGTCTGAACGACAGCACCAGTGACGTGGTTATTTGCGAAACTGGAGAATTTTTTTCTAATAATTTTATTGGTTTATTTCCTTGGTGTTTCCGGTGCCACTGAACCGAAAGACATGGCTGTCATCAGGCGGTGTCAGTTAAGGTGTCAGTGGATATTTTTAGGTTACGCCCGTTTTTTTCCCCCTTTCGTCTCTACCAAGTTACCACTTGCCAAACTATAGAGCAACCTTGCCCAAACAATAGGGATTGCGTAATTGGATAGAAATTAGTTAAAATTGGGACGTACACAATAGAAAATGAGTAATTGAATTATGATCATCAATGACCATAGATAAGATCAATGACATTACGTGTTTGTGTCAATGTTTGTGTGCCTCTTGCGGCCTTGCCGGCCATATTTTGCTTGTCAAAGTCACGTGTTTTGGATAGGCTAATAAATAGCGAGAAGACTAGTAGCTTAAGTAGGTTAGCTTTAATCTGATATTTGGCTCTAAGGATATTTGTCATATACCTGCGTTTTTTAGAAGAAACATTTTATTGTTAAGCTAGACTCACATTAATCAAATTAAAAAAATACCTATTGCCTGTACCAGTTTTATGTTTGGCCAAGTGTATGTTTTGATAAGGGATAAGTGAATTTTGTATAAAGTCAATTTACATAATTTAATAAAAGTTGTTACTGTTTGTGAAGTGAATTTTAGTGAACCCGGAATCCGTGACAATATGAACGTAGGGGGCAGGGATACGGAGATCGTGGCTTACGATGACCTTGGCTTAACTTGACTTGACTTGGCTCAGAGCAGAGGATACAGTAACCCTAGCTACAGGAAAGAGCACAAGCGCTTTCTCGGCCGTCTGTCTTGGTCGACATTCAGAATGCAAGAGGACGAGTTGAGCGGCGTTGCCAGACTTCGCTGTGAACTTCCCCCCTTGAACACTTTCAGGGTTCAAGATTCGTCTTCCTCAGCAAGTGGGAGAGGACACACCTCAGAAATAGCCCTCTTCAGGATCCCATTAGTAGTTTTAATGGTTACCACTCTTTATCAGCTCCTGGAATTAACTGGATTATGCGTCCCAATAACCATCGGGAAGGAGGCAGGTTTTCGTTTTTGATAAGCACCAATGTACCAAATGTCTTTCCACCATATTTCCATTTGTTCCTTTGTTGTAAATAGTCAAATATGACCAGTGTTTCCAGAACCCTTGGAGCATCTGTTGGATGAGTTGAAAGCGGGTTAATCGATTAATTTTCATATCTTCATAATCCAAACTTGGTAAGGTTGTCAATGGCTTTCCGATCAAAAAGTGAGATGGAGTGAGAGGCTAGGGTCATTTGACTAAGGCCTCAATTTAAACAAGAAATGGTAAAAATTCCTCGTAATTCAAAATGCTTTCCCCTACAACACGATATAAGGGATGTTTTACTCCCCTAATGTTTGATTCCCATAAACATCCGAAATTGGGTGAATTAGGTGGAATGAAGTGCCACTCGATACGCTTGTCAGCACGAAATTGAATAATTTCGTTTTGGGAGTTCAACAATAAATCGTATAATTTTTTGAAAGAACTTTGGGCTTCTACAAAATTAGAGCCATTGTCGGAGTAAATATGAAATGGGACCCCTCGTCTAGAACAGAATCGCCGTAATGTTGCAATAAAAGATTCTGTGTTTAGATCGCTTACCAGTTTTTAGTATGTACTGCCTTTGTGGCAAAACATATGAACACACACAAATAAGCTTTGTATGTCTTACAACCGCGACCTTTCCTGTCTTTCAAGATAAATGGTCCTGCATAATCAATCCCCGTAATTGAAAATGGACTTGAAATATTAACCCTTGAATGAGGTAAGTCAGCCATTATTGAAAATGCAGGCTTCGGTTTATATCTAAAACATTTCACACATTTCCATTTCCTAACAACTGATTTCGCAACATTCATACCTGAAGTAATCCACAACTTTCTTCTAACATTTGCAAATAATAATTGAGATCCTGCGTGAAGTAATTTCAGATGCTCACTTTCAAAAATAAGAATACTCAATCTATGTTTTCCATCAAGCAAAATGGGATGTTTTGTATCAAATTTAACGAAAGAATGTTTCAATTGACCCCCAACTCTAAGTAAACCTTATTGAGTAATCAAAAGTAATCAAAAGATTTATCTTATTAGAATAGTTTAGTGAAAATAAGGAGAAATTGTAAGTACATGTAGGAAAATTGAGACTTGATTATTTAACCGGTTATTGCAATGACTATGATGCAAAGTGAAATGACTATGGAATATTAATGCAATTTAATTGACTTCGAGTGAAATGACTAATAAATATTCTCTTTGCTAAGAGTATAAATTGGGAAATATAAAGCACATGACTTCTGCCAATTAATAATACGAATTTTCTGAAGACTTTTGAAATTAAATTGTATGTCCAGATGACCACATTCCGGAGAGTTATGATGGGCGTTGATGAACGCCGACCGTTCATCCTTTGGAATAACAACTAGCCAAATCTTGCTCGAACCTGACAATTCGGGATAAGGAACCTGTGCCCGTTTATACAGTTTTCCTTTCTTCAACCACCAAAGTAGATACTTGTTCGGGAATCTTTCTATTGTCTGGAACATACCCAAATACCAGGAGTCTACCTCAATGGGTCAGCAGCAAGACGACAGGCATTTGAAACTTTGTATCGATGACTGGTAAAGACCGGTACAGGGCATAGGAAACGACATTGTCTATGCCTTTCTGATCAACAGTGTCGAAGTTATAGTCTTGCATTCGATTCTTCCTATAGGATGTGAGAATATAGAATTGAGCCACTTTAGAATATAGTGGTCAGTCACAACGGTAAATCTTTCCCTTGAATGTATGGGTAATGGGTATGTAACTCTTCAATAACAAACAGAGCCCCCGAACACTCCTTCTCGGTGGTGCTATACTACCGGTAGTTAAGTCACGGTCGTCAGGGATCTGCTCAAATAGCATAGTATCATGTGTTCCTCGCCGTCCATGGATTACCAAGCGTAAATCTCCCAGACCAAAGTGTGAAGCATCGCACTGAATAACGTAAGTCCCATAGAGATTAGGGCACGGAAGAACCGAGGCCAGATGCTCCTCAATAGTCTGAAATTCCTGACTGCAGCCATCATCCCATGCAAAATTTGCGTTCTGGCGAGTCAACCCGGCTCAAGGAAGAATGACTACGAAATTGGGAACCAATCTTCCGTACCACGACGTCATACCAGCGATTCGGCTTACCTCTGTCACAGTGGTTGTGGTAGAGGCAGGCATCTTCAGAATAGCTTTTCAGGGTCAACAAGTAAACCTGCAGAAGTTACGACATAACTGAGGTACTTACTCAAGTTCTGATTAACAAAAATGACATTTTTCTCGATTAAGGGTGAGACTGCATCAAAAATACGCTTGATGACCTTGCGCAGCACCAGTAAATGATCTTCTACCCTTGTACCTTCTTAATTCTTACCTTTTTTTCTCAATAGTTTTTTTGTTTATGCGAAAGCTTTTACAGAAAACATCGTTTTTCTGGGAATAAATATTGGCCGTATCCTCACTGGGATATTCCAAAAACACCCCATTTTAGAATTACTATTATCTTGCTAATTTTTCAAGAACAGCAATTTTTCATTTCACTCGACAATGTAGAGATATGTTGGTTGTCTTTTTCATCCCTTTGTCAAAAACAAAAACTTACCTTTAGTTTCGTTGTAGTTTCAGGAAAAATATCCCATATGGCCCTTCTTCTGACATCCAAACCATACCCTTTATAACCCTCTTGGTTCAATAAATATACTAGTAAACCATTTCCACAACCACAATCCACAAACTTTATTTCCGTATCGTTTTTCCATAAGCAAATTAAATAGCTTGCAATAGCTATGTCTTCGAAAACAAACTTTTGCGGATCAGTTCCTGATTTCGTAGGCCAGACCTAAAAAAGTGAATATAATTTATAATGATATAATAAATTAGTAGATATTTTATTACATTTACAAGTTTTTCTCCATAGGTTTCCTTTATTCTGTTATAAGTCAGGCAATATTCGTCTGTTTTAACTAAGGAAAGTGATTGTATAATTTGCTTACTATCGTCATCAGTTTGCTGAGTCCATTTAATCAATTTCTCAAATAATTTATCAACCAACCATTCAGCATGACTGGTATCAGCATTTTCAATTGAGTCCACATTAATTCTCAAGTTTTGAGTATTAGTTAGCTCAATTTCATAAGGAAATGGTGGTCCAACATAATGTATTTTCTTAATTGAATCTGAGACTACTAGAAATCTGATTTTGTTATGCTCTTTATCTATTATTATTAGTTCAATTGCTTTGGGACATTGCTTCAATCTAGGAAATAATACTCTTGCCGATACAAAAATGCCTGTACAGGAAAATTTAATATCTTCCAATTTTACTTCTTCCAATTTAACATTTTTATCATAAGATTCTAACAGCCTTCTCAAAAATCCTTCACGGAGATTTTCAGGTGAAATTTCATCTAGTTTTCGTAATTCATACAAGATTGAAGCTCTGTTGATTAAATCTTGTAATGTTACGCTATTTTCTGAATTGAAATGTATTTCATAAAATAAAGCTTGTGAAACAGCGAGGATTTTTCGATTGATTAGATGTGGCCTGTTGTGGTAGAGAATCACAGCTTCCCAAAATTTAGTTTGGGGTATGATCGTGGAGCTCGTTGCTAGTGGCAGTTGGAACATTATTTTCACTCTGTCAGATACTGAAAAAAAAAACTGTGTATGTATAGGTGCAATTTTAAATTAGTTTTCTAAGTATCAAATTCTGTTCATGAAATACCATAATACATTTAATTAAAATTTTCATTGAAAAAATCATTAATGTGGTAATAAGCTTTCGCAAATAATATCTCCTTTGTCAGTCTGCGAAATCTTCTATAACAAATGTCTGCCTCCTCAAGCATAAGGGGGGATGGTTAAATTATAGAGCTCCGAACCAGTTCCGAATGTGGGATAGGCAATCTGAGAGTGTGAGTCTGACGCATATGGTGTCCCATTTAAGATGGTATTGGGGGTTATCTGCTAAACTCGTAGAAGTATAGACTTTTTTTGATTTCACATTCCTGGGCCAATTTTTTATGGCAGATCGAATGCCGCAAGTCTCTATCTTGTACCGTTTCGGAGATACAGGGTGAAACTTGAAATTTTCACTTTTCGAGGGTAGTCATTATCTCGCGTAAGAAAAAAAATATCAGAAAGATGAAAATTGTATCTGACGCAGTTTTTTACGTAGATTCCATTCAGTCTAGGAAAATAGTCGAAAAATACATGCATTGCAAAAAAAAAATTCCTACCCAAATGAACTTTTCAGGGATGATAGGGGGCGGGTGGGTGATCATAAAACCGAAAATATCAAACATTCACCCCTCTGGCGTTTTGCGCTATACGGGTTGAAAGTGCGCCATTGGCGATTACTTGGTACCTATTGATTTTACAAAAAAATGTTTCAAATAAAAGATGTGCAACATTATTTGATCTACAATGTTTATCTAAAGACTTTTTTGATTAAGGGCTATCTGTGGTCATAAGGGCCGTTTGAAATTTTATTATGAAAATGAAAAATTTTAACCAACGTGAAAAATGTTTCTACAACACACACAACATTTTTGCTTTATGAAGTTTTTACTCACCCCCTGCCGTTTTTCGATAGGGGTAGTTTAAACTTTTTTATTTTTTTACAAAAAAAAATTCTTAATAAAAGTTTTATAAGATTACATTTCCTACAATTTTTCCCCATCAACTTTTTTTGTAACTCACCCCCAATCAGCGGGGGGACACTTCCCTTAGGGTAATTTCAGTTTTTAGGGGTATATATTGTTTTTTTTTTCTTTTTTCGCCTTTAGTGCATATAAAAAGTTGCAATTAACATTGTATTAAAAGAATTTTTTTTCCACCACCTTTTTGTTTTTAGGGGTAGTTTGCCTATTTTCAACTTTACAAAAAAAATTTATTGAGAAAACTTGTTCATTTTATTATTTTGAACAACTTTTCTTTAATTTTTTTTTTTGTAAAGTTGAAAATAGGTGAACTACCCCTAAAAACGAAAAGGTGGTGGAAAAAAAATCCTTTTAATACAATGTTAATTGCAACTTTTTATATGCGAAAAAAGAAAAAAAAAAAACAATATACCGGGTGTCTACGAGATCAGTTTCGCGCTGGCATTTGCTGGTTTTTTTTTCGATGGCAAAGATTTTGGGTATGGAGTGTAGGTTTGAGAAATGTCATCTTTTGACATGTGTGGCAATGTTTGGTAACTTCCGGTTTGACCGGAAATGGTCGTAGCTCCGTAATTTTGAATGGCATCCCAATAATTTTTTTGCATTTTTGGTATCTGCGGATCATGATGTGTACGAAAACGTCAAATTTGAACATTATCGAAGAAATTTCAGAACTCTGGATGAAAATTTATTTTAGAACTGGAAGTGACGGAGCGGTCTTAAAATTGTTATTTTCAACCAACACAATCGTAGAAAAATGCGAATGCCAAGTTATTATCCTATGCTTGTTCTCCAAAGGCTTCCAAAGCTGAAAAAATCACATTTTACGTGATAACTCAATGAAATCGGTGAAATCACCCGACTTTCATAACAAATGTTTTTTACCTTTTTCAAAATAAAACCAACTATGCATTAAAACTTTTTATTCATGCCAGTTTTTAATTATTTTTCCAATATTTTTACTATGCATTACTATAACTGATAAAACTACTTATAAATAAACCCCTGTATTCAAACTTTGTATTTACAAATTCCCGAGATGTCAAACAATGACAAATAAACATATCTTGCCCACAGATCTTGTCAATGGCTTGTCCAGAAAAAAAAAACACCAGCTCCTTTTGGAAAGTGTTCTTCATACAGGGGTTCATTTATAAGTAGTTTTATCATTTATAGTAGTGCATTATAAAAATAATAAGAAAATAATTAAAAACTAACATAAATGAAAAGTTTCAATGCATAGTTGGTTTTATTTTGAAAAAGGTAAAAAACTTTTGTTGTGAAAGTTGGGTGATTTCACTGATTTCATTGAGTTATCACGCATGTATGTGCATCTCTTCAAGAGTGTCAAAGTCACGAATTTTGCTCATATTGAAAAACCATACAAATTCAAATAGGTATAGCGCCTCCTATGCAGGGAACAACAGCGCCCTCGGTATGGAACCGAGGTCGACAAAAAAGGTACGAAAAACACTAGATTCGTACAGCCAAGCGACTGCGAAACACTCTCTCTCTTTTCGCCAAACACGAAACACGAACACACATTTTTTAATCCGTTTTCGCACACAAGAAAGTCGATGAATTCGCGAGCTCGCCGGTTACCGGTTTCGAAATAAAAGCCGGTAGTGTTGTGCAACCGAAACAAAACCCGGGATCCCGGTATTAACAATTAACTTTGAACTAGAAGAACCCCAGAACCACAGGTAAGGCGCCTTTTATCATATTGTCTTTTGTATGGTTATTTTTTTGCTATATATTCATTAGTTGCGCTTACAGTCCACGTAACTCCGAAGGTGATTCTAAAATATCAACCATTACGCCAACATTTTCTGTTCCTACGAGCCAAATTTGAACCATTTTAGAATCAAAAATCATAATTAATATAATTATTAGCAAAAATCGCCATATAAAGCAAGTTTTTTATGTGCAGGTTTGTGCGCCTAAACTGTCGCTATCCATTATTCTCTATTTTTGAGGAATTTCAAGGCCACTGAAACCGGCTGTAAAACTTATCGCTGAGGCACCTACCTATCAGTTATTAAAAATAAATTTATTTCATTTTCGCAAATAAACCGAAAAAAGAAATAGTTGTTTACTAAATAAAAAAACCAAATTATTTCCGAGAAGTTTAAGCATTGCAGTGCACAGGTAGATACATTGGTGCTAATAATGAGATTGTAATGATTGTATTACTTAATTTCAGAATAATTTTTCGCTATATTTAATTCTATAATTTTCGCTTTTCGACGATTTACAGGTTTTACGTTACAGCCTGCAAATCCAGGTATATACCTTATTCTTAGGTATGTATATACCCTATTTTATAGATTCTTTGCTTTGAAAAAGACTTAATTTTTTCAATTATTTTCTTGGCATTTCGATCAACATGCCGGAAACTGAGACGGCAAACGTTGCGCTCATCAAAAAATTAACTAAAAAACGTTACGTCTGTGCTAGCCGAATCACAGAAACGTACACGGTTGCACAAAAAGCCAAAACTAGTGACTCTCAAAAAGCACTGCTTAAAGTAAGGTGTGAGAATTTGGAAGAATCTTATTCTGATTTTCAAAAAGATCATAATGAAATCATTGGTATAATTGATGATAAGGAATATGACCAGCAGGATGCTGTCAGAAAAGACGCAGATAGTTATTATTTTGGGTCAAAACAGGTTTACTTTGAATTATTCCCACCTAGTAGCACACCAGGTAGTTATGTTTTAGCGCCAAATGAATCAAACCAGGCAACCTACACCGCGAAGTTACCGAAATTAACTATTCCGAATTTTGATGGCAATTTACAATATTGGACAACATTTTATGACATGTATAGATCCATGGTACATGATTCTACATTGCCCAACATTTCCAAATTTCAATATCTAATTTCATTATTAAAGGGTGAGCCCCTTAGTTTAATAAAGTCCATTCCTACTACGGATGCCAATTATGTAATAGCTTTTAAAACTCTCACAGATCGCTATCAGAATAAACGGCATTTAGCTACAAACTACTGGAATGCAATTAATAATACTTCCACTCAAAAAACAAATTCTTCCAAAGACTTAAGAAACCTACTGGATACTTTCAATGAAAATGTGGCCGCGCTCGAGGTGTTGGGATTTCCAACCAACCAGTGGTGTTTTGTTCTTTTCAACATGCTGCTTACAAGGCTAGACTCGGCTACAAGAACGGCATTTGAAATAGAGCATAGCAAAATTGAGTTACCCACTTATCTACAGCTTACCACTTATCTCGAAAGTCATTGAGGGCCCTCGAATCAGTCCAAATGAGTTTACCATGTCCAATGAATCTCAACAGGGCCCAAAAACCTCAAAACCCATATCACCAAAGTCATTTGAAGTCTGGTAACTATTCTGGTACGCCTAGACATTCAGGAGCTCAAAGTCTAGTAGCGAACACTGAATCAAATGCTCACGACTCTCAAATACGACAAAATAACCCGCAATCAATCCCAAATATCGCTAATATGGCTGCTCAGGTATCATCTCATGATACTTCTAGGTATAATGTCGATTATGCCAGCAACCTTTTCATTCATTATCGCAATGCCCTCAATTTCTAGGTAAAACCCCGTCAGGGCGTCTAGCTTACGTTAAGCAAACCAACGCTTGCATCAATTGCTTAAGGTCTACTCATAGGCTAAAAGATTGTCCATCCACCTTTACTTGTCGGATATGTCATGTCAAACACCATACTTTGCTTCATTTTCCCAAAAACATTGGGCAAACCAGTCATCATGGTCAAACGCCTTCCTCATCGGGTACACCTGCCTCTATTGTCAGTCCATCGCAAATGGAAAGTCCCCATAGTGCACAACTACAGCAATCACTCAGTTGCGAATGTGCAGCGATGGCTACCTCCATTCCTCAAACCACTGTCCTCCTTTCTACTACTAAGATTGAGGTACTTGACTCGAGAGGCAATTATCAGATAATCAGAGCCGTTTTAGATTCAGCCAGTCAG